CGGGAGGAGGGCAAGGAGGAGGGGTATGACGGAGGAGGACGGGGGGGGGGTCCATGCGACTGATAGTCTGAGGTGATCTGCTGCAAACCACCGCCACTATCACCGCCACCATCATCATCACCTCCGCTATGACTGCTGCTGCCACTACGGTCAGCGCCATGGTCACCGCCATCTGGTTGCTCAGCAGTGACCCGTGGGTCGGCTAGGTCGGCCATGCGCTGATCCTCAGCCTGCTGATGTTGCTCCAAGACGCGCCCTCGCCGTCGTCCGTCATCATGGTCACCGTCGTTATCGCCATCACTGCCTTGGTGTTTCAGAAGTTCCAGGTTCCAATCCGAGTCGGAATTCGGATCCAATCCTAGAAGCCGAGGGAAGCTGCGGGAAGTGTCGTCTTTTTCGCCCGCATCGCCACATACGGCTAATAGATCGCTACGGTCCTGGTCCTGGTAGTTGTCGTGGTAGTTGCGGTGGTTGTGGTGGTTGTGGTGACGGTGTCGGCACTGCGGGTACGCCTCGGTCTCTAGGAGCTGCTGAGCTCCCCGCCGGTGGGGGAAGAGGAGGAGCGGAGTTGGGTTGGGGGCTGAATTGGTCCGGATGGCGGGTTCAGAGGTAGGGGTAGAGGTAGAGGAGAAGAGAGGAGAGCACCAAGTATTAGCTAGTCAGTGAGGCTGGGACGTGGTGCTGATTGATGCTGGTGATCAATTCAGCAGTTTGGTCTAAGGAAGATTCGGGTTAGGGACGTTAGGGGCAGTAGGTACGGTGGGTACGGCGGCGGGTAGGAGGATTGTTGGCGCGGTCTGTTACATGGGATTGGTTTTTGGTGCGTGATGGGTAGCTGTGTGGAAATGCACGTTACCGCGCTCACCCCTGCCGCAGCTATAGCTGCCAGCGCAAGCACCAGGATCTCAGTCCAGAGTTTGGGTTCCATTTATCCATGTCCTTAAATGTAACGAAAAGCCATTATGGGTACGGAGATAGGTGGAATCCGTGCAAGCCCCAAGTAAACGCAACGGAAGGTATCCGTAGGACAGAATGCTTGGGAAAATATAATTATCAAAGTATTGGTATAAAAACTAAGCGGCTCTTTTCAGGATGCTTTGCTTGCGCGATGCATTCAACCTCAACCTCAACCGATGATGCGCGAATTTTCAAACGTAGCTCTTTTTTAAATATATAACAAGAAAATTGTTTAGGCTAATCCCCCTTGGAAAATTGCCCTCCTGACTTTTGGAAGGCTGTCGTTCTAACCGTCGTTAACCGCTGTCACAATTTGCAGTACCTTTTAAATTTTCATCTTGTTTGTGATTTGACCGCTACCTGCATTACAACCCATCACTAAAGTGATTGTGTTGCTTCATTGCGATATCCATCGGGTCTCTTTCTAGGGAACACATCCGGGAAGCTGGCTCCAGGGTCCCTTCCAAGGTGCTTCCGTTAACCGAGGAGTTTCCAAAACTGTGATCACAGCACGCGGATAACCATTTCGTGCACCCATCAACCTGCCCAGTACTCACCCCCTTCTAGAACTGTGCGATGCAGCGCGTCCTTGAGCACATTCTACTATTACGGAATCCCATCAAGCGATTAGACAGCCCTGGTTCATTGCCTCTCGCACACCGCGGCGTTTGCTGAGGTGTGGCAACGAGCATGGAGGGGGTGCGCATTGTCCCTTCCACGCGTTACAGGCGTGCCGTTCTGCTGAAAGGAAGCTTAAAGGGAGGATACGGAGGGACGACAACGGACCTTTCCGCTTGCCTCTCGCCTTTCGACGTTTTCCAATTTTGCAGTTTTGAATGTTGAGACATTGTACCTGCGCCAGCCAGCTCCTGTCCATGCAACCGGGACCGGGGGGAAGGAGGATGTTTAGAGTGACAGCGAATTCGTCGCCCTCCACCGCGCGCACATCGCCTCGTCCTTGCCACTCATCACCGTCCTCACCACACCGGCTGGCGAAGAGATTTAGATGAGCCCCTCACCTCAACAGGAGACAGTCTTCGTTGCAGCAGACATCCCCCGCACCAGGAACCGGGATCTGACACTTACAAACCAGCAGCATCTGCTGCCCGGGATCAACCCATCCTTACAACTGGATCTGTCTTCCGACCCTAACCGACAAAAGCGCAAAAAATCACTCACAGCCCAAGCTCCCCCGCGGTCCACCCACCGCATCACCCCGTCAACCCCAACCCACCTTGGGAGAGGGTGACGTGTTTCCTCCTCCTATTTTACTCTGGTGAACCTCCTTCTGGAGTGCTCTGAATCAATCAAATGAGCTTTAAAAAACAACAACGACAACAACAACAATTAATGCCGCATTCTGGGTCAACACAGACAGCCACTGGCCCTCTATGCCGTCTCAAAAGTAAAACGTCATAAAAAAACCCTTCTAAGCAAAACAAAAGAAAAGAACACCAACAACCGGAAGTGAAAAAGCTCCGTCCAGAGCACCTGAGCACTGTGCGACCACTCGGCCCATCATACATCCACCAAGCCAGCTCATGCCTCTGGCTAATCCCCAAACGACTACCGGTGTCTCTCCCTGACTTGACAGCACCGGAGTGCTGCTACTCCTCAGCCCTCCATCCCGCAAACAATCATATGTGTCTATATGTGCGTGTGGGGCGACCTGTGGTATGCTCAACAACCTCCAGGATGCAAAAAGCCGTGATAAATGTAAAGGCCTGCCTGCGCAATCCTGGACCTCGAGGACCAGCACCCAATCCTCCGGAGGTCCATCCTCCCGAGGCACCACCGGCATCCCGAGGTCGCACCACTTCCTCCTCCTCCCCCCCCCGCACTCGACCCCCATGTGGATAGACCGAGTGGGTATGTGGCGCGTCACGTCACGTGGGGCGACTGAGTGCCGGTAGGTAGGTAGGTAGGTAGGTAGGTAGGTAGGTAGGTAGGTAGGTAGGATGCATCCGAGGACACGACACGTCAAAGCGAGAATGGATCGTCCACCGGCATTCGATCACTCCCGATCATCAATATCACTCCACCGCCAGCTCTTTGCCCTCCTCCTCAGCTGCAATATCCCCCCCCCAAACTTCTGCACCTCCTCCTCCTGCACCTCCTGCTCCTCCTGCACCTCCTGCTCCTCCTGCACCTCCTCACAGCCTGCCACTACTTGCTTCTTCCACGGAGCCTAGCTTCCCTCAGATGCGCTCTCCACTCCTAAGTTCGCATTCGGGTGCAGCTCATCTCATCCTCTGTCATCACCTCCGCCTCTCTGCCCAATAGCCAATAGTTATCATCGTACGGCACACTGCAAAATTCCGCAACCAACCCTCACAGGTCTCAAACGCGGTATAAAGATAAGGAAAGAGAGAGAGAGAGATTAACAGTGCGGTGTACGGTACTGAAAAGCGTTCTGCATGTCCAGCAGTCTGCAGCCGCGACGGCTCCCGTAGCAGTCTCCCGCCGCTCACTCATTGTCAGTGATTTTGTACGGCATGAACTAATCGTCCAGGGCTGCAAACAGCCTGGAGTCTTTTAGCCGCTCGTAGGGGGCCCCGCCGCCGCCGCCGCCGCCGCTGCTGCCCCCGGCGGCGGAAGCAGCGCCAGTGCCTCCGTCAGCTGCGCCCGCACGAGAGCAGCACTGCCACCCAGCTCCTCCGCACATCCTGCGGCCGTACCGTCCGCCGCTGTCGCCGCCAGCAGGCCGTACCACTCCAGCAGGCATTCCGCAGCGTTGAGCAGCAGCGGCGCCGCCGCCAGCAGGCAGCGGCGAGTACGACCGTCCCTCGCGCGAGCTACACGTAGATGAGGCTGTAGATGCTCCTGCGCTGCTACATCCGCCGCCGCCGCCTCCCTTGCGCGCATGAGCAATCCCACGATGCCCGACAGACAGGCGCGGAAGTTAGCCAGCGCCGCACTGGACTCGGGCCCGGAACTGCTGCCGCCGCTCTGTACGGCAGCCCCCGCCAGCGCCCTCGCCGCCGCCAGCTGCGCCCGCGGCACCTGTTGCAGCAAATTCCACGCGCGCCCTAGCGTGGCTGCGGCGACGGCCATCGCCGCCGGCGCCGGGGGCTCCTCCGCCACGGTCATGTCAGCAGCACCAGCGCCGCCGCCACCGCCGCCGTCGCCACCCCCCCGTTGAAGACGCAGTAGCCCAATAGGTAGTGGCGGCAGCGGCGGCGGATCTCCGGTATCGATGTCCGCCGCCCGGAGATCGTCATCGTGGCGACTACCGCCGCCGCCGCCGCCGCCGGCGGCCCCCACAGGTCCCAAATGGCCGCCGCGTTGCTGCAAAACGTCCGTACGATTCAACTTCACTCCCAGCGGAACGACCCCGGGGGATAACGTCCGCAGATGCTGCTGGTGCGGCGGCAGCGGCGGCGGCGGCGGCAACAGGCGGCGCTGCGGCGGGCGGTACTGTGCTTGCACGGCATGATGCCACGCATACGCGCCGCCGCCAGCCCTGCTACTACTGCCGCTGCCAAGAATGCCGAAATCAACCCCCCCTGCGAGCTCCTCGTCCTGGCCGTCGTGGATCCCGCCGCCGCCGCCGCCGCCGCCGCCGCGTGCGACACCGACTGGCGAGGCTCCCGCCAGGACGGCTCCCGCCGCACTCCGTAGCGCCTCTCCACCGCCTGCTATTCGTACGGCAGGTACGACAACATGCATATTGCGGTCGCCACGTTCCTTGTGGTGGTCCACGGCAGCAAAAGGCGCGGCGGCATGGAGGTCTGCGTCGTCCTCCTCGGAGGCGGACGGCGGGTTGGGACAACCGCGAACAAGGTTAGGCAAGCGACGTTGCATTGGCGCCAAGGTGTGCGACACACCGGGATGTACGGCCAAAGGCCCTGCATCCGTGCCGCCGCCGCCGCCGCCGGCGGAGGTAGCGGCGGCGGCGCCGTCGCTGCCGTGCCGCAACGCCAGGAGCCCGGCCGTCCCTGTCGCCGGCAAAGGCCGCCGCTGCACCGGCGACGGCGGTCGCGGTCTGTCGCCGTACACCTCCCCTAGATCCTCCGCTTCATTCGTACCAGCGGCGTAGATGACTCTCTGAACTGCTGGCGGCGGAAGAAAACGACGCAGCGCTGCCCACTGTATTTGGCCAATGCCGCCGCCACCCGCCGCCGCCGTCCCCCCCGCCGGCGTCGCCGCCAGCTGCTGCTGCTGCTGCTGCTGCTGCTGCTGTTGTTGTTGTTGACGCCTTAATTGCAATTGCTGCAAGAGGTGCTGCTGCAGCACACGCTGGTAAGGCTCGTCTTGCTCGTACACTGGCGGATCCGGCGCCTCGATGCGCCGCCGCTGCTGCTGCTGCTGCTGCTGTTGGTGGTGCTGTAGCAGCAACAGCTGATCCGCCCTGGCAGCGGCCGCCGCAGCGGATGCCAGGGCGTCCAAGCTACCGGCGAGACTGCCGGCGTCGACGCCGCCGCCAGCGCCTAGCACAGCAGGGGCGGCGGCGGCGGCGGCGGCTGCATCGGCGGCGACAGCGGCAGGAAACCTTCCAGAGTTCAATCGGCCGCTTGTCACCACCATCTGGGGATGCTGCTGCGGCGGCGGCAGGGTTACGACATGCGGAGCAACGTCCGCTGCAGCAATGGCTGCCGCGGCGGCGGCGGCAGCGCGGCCGCTGGCGTCACCGCCACCTGCGCTAATAGCCTCATGCTGTTGCTGCTGCTGCCATCTGGGCCGCTTGGCGCTGCTGCCTCGGCCGACCGCCTCCAGCACATCTCCGCTGACGTCCACGGCAGCGGCGGCACCGCCGCCGGCTTCGCGGCGGCGCCCACCAGATCCGTACGGCACCTCCTCCTCCATATCCTCTTGATCCTCCTCGCTCTCTGCTGCCGCCGCCTGCTCCACCTCGCGCCGCCGCCGCCGCGAGCTGTCCAGCGCATCGCCGCCGCTGCCGGCCGCCGCAGCGCCGCCACCGTCTCCTCCTCCTCCTCCTCCTCCGCCGCCGCCGCCGGCCGCCGCCGCCGGCTTCCGTGGCGGCGGGTGGCTCGGGTCGGCGTCGCCGAGCGCCAGGTCAACGGCCCCGTCGACTTGCAACCGCATGAACAGCATCGGCCTATTCCACATGCAGGCGGTTACTGGCAGTTGGAGTGACATGCAGCCGTGCGAACCCGTGGGCCCTATGGTGCATTCCGTTTCCTCTAAAACCGCCTCCCGCCAGTTCACGTACGACACGTTGTCCCCATCCGCGCCGCTGGCACCTGCTCCAGTAGCGGAAGCAGCGCCGCCGGCCGGCGGGGTGAGGTGCAATACACGTACCACGACAGGACGGGGGTTGTTGAACCGCCGTTGGTCTGCTGGAAGGAGCTGATGGTTGGGTGGTTGCGAGGGCGGGGGGGGGAGCGGGGCGGGGGGGGAGAGACCGGGGTGAGGGGTGAGGGGGATCCTGGAAGGGGCCAACCAGCAAGGGTGATTAGTTCGTACCTAGCCAAACACCCGGCGGGTAATAATCACATGTACGACTGGACAGATCAGATACAGACACATGAATTGACTGACTTGACCTGACCAGGTGTACGACTTGAAGAGGGCCAAATCGGGAGGATGGGTGGGGGAGAGGTGGAGGATAGATGGAGGGAGGTCGGGTGGCACGAAAAACCCAAACCAACCACGCCAGCAGGAAGCGCCCGTGACCGAGGGGCGGGGTAGCGGTGGCGCGGCAACGGGTGGTGGGGAAGGTAGGCCCCTCAGTTCTGTTGCCGTTATGGATTATGTATGCATGTCTGTAACTCTGTATTGTATCGCGCCACTGCCACACGTACACGAGTTTTTGTTCCGAGGTTTTAAAACTCTAAAACCCCCCAAAAGCCCTAAACCCCCCAAAACCCCCCAAAACCTAGTTCAAACACAATGGCTTCCGTATTGGCACTACAAGGTTTTTTTGGTTTTTCTTGCTCTTATTCTCCACCAACCTGGACAACCTGGAACAGATTTTTAAAATCTCCCTTACCCTCCCTCGCTCAACTCCGTTGCTACTGTCCCTCCTCCGCCTCACCTCCAAGATCTGGGGAGGCACCGGCAGGTGCTTCTTCCCGCCCAGAATACCCGAGCTAGTACGGATAACAACTGGCTGCTGCTTGTTGATGTACTTCCGCCGTACAGCCAGTGGCAGCAGCGGCGGCGCTCGGCCAGCACCGCTGCCGCCACCGCCGCGGCCCCGTGCCATCACCGCCGCCGCCGCTGCTGCCTTCGCGCCGGACGGGGACGGGGACGGGCAGGAGAGGGAGCCCATAACCACCCACTTGGCGTTGCCAACTTGTTTGTCACTCGCCGCCGTCGAGGAGGGGCTTCGACGCAGCGGCGGCTGGTACGGCACATCCCCCGTGGCCTCGTCTGAGGTTCGCCTATCCCCCATAGCCTCCGTCAGCGCATGGGAAATCTGATGCCAAGCCGCCGCTGCCGCCGCCGCGGGAATATTCCCCCGGACCCCCGCCTCCGCCTCCTGCTGCTGCTGTGGTTGCGGCGACGACTGAGCGTCGTACATTTCAACCTCCATTCCCCCGTCGCCGTCGCCGTTTTCGCCGGCACCCGGCCGCAAAGCCCCGTCTATTTCCCCTTCCTTCCCCCCATCATAGCCGCTGTCCTGACTCAACATACGCTGCTGCTGCGGCTGCTGCGGCTGCGGCTGCTGCTGCTGCTGCTGCTGCAGCAGCGGCGGCGGCCGCGGCATGGTGTGTTCGTGCCGGGTGACCTCGTCAAGGTGCGCGCTCTCCTGACGCCGCTGATCATACTGCTGGCTGTACGGCTGCCGGCTGTACGGCTGCTCCTGCTGCTGGGGAGTCGGCTCTCTGCCGCCGCCGCCGCCGCCCTGCAGGAAGGGCGTCCCCGGGGGCCCCCCGGCTCGCGGTCTATCGTCCAACGTGACCGGCGGAAGGCATCCGCCTCCGTCGACCTCGTCCTGCCGTACGCCCCGCTGCGTGGCCTCTGACGGCCCGCCAGCAGCCAGGTCCGCTTCCTGCCGCTGCTCCCGCTTTACCGTAGGGCTAGCTGAGGCTGGTAGTCCGGCAGTAGCAACAGCGGGAGCAGGAGCAGGAGCTGCGGCGGCGGCGGACCCGGCGTCTAGGGCCTTGGGCTGTGACCGGTCGCCTGGCGGCTTGTTAGTGGCGGCGGCGGCGGCGGCCTGATTCGCTGTCGTCGCCTGCTGCAGCTGCTGCTGCCGCCAGGTACCTTCACCGTCGCCGCCACCGCCGGTGCTACAGCCTCCCGAGTCTGAACCTGTTGAGTGGGTCATAGCCGTGTAGTGGGGGTGGACTGTGGTTGAATACGTGGCGGATATGCACTCGATAGTGGTGGTGGATATCAGCCAACGGAGTAGTCATGTTAACTTTGGGGGGGTTAACTTCGGTAAAACCCTAAGAGGAAGTTCGAGGTCCGTAATCAAGATGACGGAAGGACGACGGCTCGTAGGGGCATACGTGTGCATGTATGTATGTATGTATGTATGTATGTATGTATGTATATGTATGTATATGTATATGTATATGTATGTATGTATGTATGTATGTATGTATGTATGTATGTATGTATGTATGTATGTATGTATGTATGTATGTATGTATGTATGTATGTATGTATGTATGTATGTATGTATGTATGTATGTATGTATGTATGTATGTATGTATGTATGTATGTATGTATGTATGTATGTATGTATGTATGTATGTATGTATGTATGTATGTGTGCATGCATGCATGTATGTATGTATGCATGTATGTATGTATGTATGACTTAGATTACACTGTGGGCTGCGAGAGCCGGCGGCCGAAGCCGAAACACAGCGCAAGGGTCGGGAGCACACAGCACAAGTCGGTTAGTCTTGTGTGCTCCCGACCCCGACTCAGACTGCCAACACTCTACGCAGCCACTCCGCAGCCCCTCCACCGGGGATGGCGCTGCAGTGAAAACACCACGAAGGGCTCTCAGGTCCCGCTAGAGCCAGTCCACAAGTCTCAGCTAGGTATGTATGTATGTCGCTAAGTACTCTTCAAGACGATCTTCTGCGGCCTCCTACAGACCGACAGACGGACCGGCATACATTCGGACATTGAAACCTCGACAGGTGTGACAACAGCTTGCATCAGCTCTACACATTCGTTGCGCTTCGACATTTCTCAATATTCCCTAAACAAACATACACACCTGCTGCTAAGGTGCCGCTAGCCGCCTCTAGCATTGTGGGTGTCGGCGTATGGCCCAATGGGGCTGTAGCAGCCGCAGCACCAGCAGCAGTGCTCGTGCTCTGGGGCGCAGGCCCGGGCATATGGGTGGATGCGGGTGCTGGCGCGTGTGTATGTACGACAGTGTGGACCACTTTGCCGTTGTTGTTGTTTGTGTTCGTGTTGGGCTGCCCGGCGGTGGGTGTGGGTGTGCGTATGCGTGTGGGTGTGGGAGCCGCCGCAGCCCCCCGGGCCCTCCTCCCCCGGGGGGACCGCAGCATGCGCTTGCCGAGACCTAGTTCCAGGGTGAGGTCCGGGAGCAAGCGGAAAAACTCGGTACGACGGCCGTACATGCGCTCCGAAACCACGATCTGCAGACAGGGGTTGAGATCAGAGGAAAGGAGGTCCTGCATGGGGCTTCTGCGGAGAGACGTGTGCTGGTGCGGGTGCAGGATGGCTGTCGGGTGGGGTGTCAGCTTGGGGGAGGGGGAATGTGTTGATCTGGGGTTTTAGGATTTTTGTGATGTCGTTTGCGTCTGTCGGTCTGATGTCCCCTTGTCTAGAAGGGGAGAGTAGCTCGCTCGCATCTGCATTGTAATCCCCGCCTCCCTCCCCCCTTCCCCCCTTTCCCGCGCTTTGAGAGGGCCGTAGGAGCCCCAGCCGTTGTAACCGACCTGAAGGGCCGACTTGCCTCCGGGTCCGCTTCCAATGGGGCACAAGGCTTCCTCGGCCCCGCCCCGCTCCTCCTCCTCCTCCTCCGCCACCGCCGCCTCCACCTTCACCTCCACCGCACCTTCAACGGCCTCGCCGTCCTCCTCCTCCTCCCCCTCGTCGCCCTCCTCAGTATCATCATCATCGTCATCATCTGATGCTTCTGTGTCGGAATTGCTGCCGCCGCCGCGGCTGCTGCTGCTGCTGCGCGCCCCTTGCCGCATCCGCGGGAACAGCGGAGCCGTACCTCCCGTACCGCGATGCCGTTTGGGCGGGTTAGGAGGCAGGACCAAGCTCCGCACCCGGACTGGTAGTTGACCGTTGCGCATGGGCTCTGGGAGAGCCTACGAAGAGGCAGCCGAGGAGGGAAAGCTGAGCTCAGGAGGGAAAATAAAATTACCCTCTAGGATTGCTTCACGATTTTTCTTGTTATAATACTTGTTACTTTCCTGTTAGCTTACCTGCCTAAACAACTCCAAATCTAGGCTTGTTGTTTGCGTCTTTTCAAATTTTCAAATAGCGAGATGATGACGACGAAAACGTTTTCTTGTTCTTTATGATTTATACAGCAGTAATCGTCCTTCTTAGTTAGTCGATTATAATTAGTTTGCGCGACCGCTCACGCTTAGCATCGACGTTGAATTGGCCCCACCTTCAAAGTTTTTTTAATTTTTCACGAAAAAATACTTTATGATGCAAGTTGCTTAACATTTGACAGAAATGATGGCGTCACCCAATATGTAAGCTATTGAACACGTGACATCAGCAGACAGACGAACGGGCAGGCAACAGACAGACGGATAGACGTACAAAATGGTAGACGGGCGGACAGCCACGCGGATAAGACAGGCAGACAGGCAAACAGACGGGGCAGATGAACGGGCAGGCAACAGACAGACGGACAGATGAACAGACAGACAGACAGACAGATGGACAGGCAAATGTGCGGCCAACTGTTGCCATATATATACATATATATAAAATATATATAACATATATATACATATATATACATATATATACATATATACATATATATGCTGCCCGGCGCCCCCTCCCGCCGCTCCATTCCCCCAACCCCTTTCCAGCCATCCACCTGGTGCCGTACCTGTACGATTTCCGACGGCAGTACGAGGTGTTTCGTGTCCCCCAGCCTCCCCGACCTCGGCGCGAGCACCTTGGGGCACTTCCGGTCCATGTGCAGCACTGTGAGGGGCAGCGCCAGGGAGGGGCCGCCACCACCACCGCCACCACCACCGCGGGCGGCGGAGGCGGAAGGGGGGGAAGCGGAGGAGACGGGAATAACGGAGGCGGAGGCGGAGGCGAGGCCGGCGGAGGCGGACGCGGGTCTGTTAGCTCCCGTGGCTGTGACCAAGGTTGGACCTGGCGGCGCCGCCGGAGGCTGTACAGATGACGCGCTCCGAAACCCCACCGCTGACGGCAATCCCGTGACGTCCGGTCCCCGACCGGTTGCCACCGCCATAGCTGCCGTACCGACGTCGTTTGATGCCGTCCGCCTAGCGCTACCGCCGCCGCTGCCAGCTGCCTCGGCACCGCCTGCTGCCGTACCTGCCATGACCACATCATCGCCGTCAGCGCTGCCGCTGCCGCCGCCGTCAACCCCCTCCTCGCCGCCGCTGCGGCGGGCTGCTGTGTCTCCAAAGGCATCAGCGGCCGATAATCCTCTCCTCACCTCCTGCCTCGCCCGCGAGCCTCCACCCACCACCTCCGCCAGGCGATCGGCACCGTCCTGTGCTGGCGCAAGGCCCGACGGGCCCGGCTCAAGCCCCGCCGCCGCCATCGGCGCAGCATCGCGGCCGTCGTCGCCGCCGCCCTCGCCACGACTCGCGGCCTCCACCTCGGGTCCCGTACCTTCACCACCACCACCACCGCCACCTCCTCCCTCCCCCTGCAGCGTATGCGCGGGGGACCCCCGGAAATACCTCTCCACGCCGGCCTCATCCGGAGATTGCGCCCGTAGCTGCGGCGGCGGCGATGTGGAGGCAGCGGCGGCTGCCGCTGCCGCCGCCGCAGCGGGAAAATCTCGCTGAGCTCCCACGGCGAGATGCTGCTGCCGCTGATCCTCGTGCGCGAGATACATATCCAAGTCCTCGTCGTACATGTACGAACTTGTCGATGGCCTTCCCGCAGCAACCGGCAGCTGCGGCGGCGACCATGGCAGCGTAGCTCCTGCTGCTGCTGCTGCTGCGTGTATGGCAGGCCTCCTTGCCGCCGACTCTGCGTGGCCGGGCGGCACCGTAGCAGGGGCATGGTACGGCGCGTACCGCGTGTGTTGCTGTGCCATGTGCAGGCTGCCGCCGCTGACGCGATGGTGGGTCCAAGAGGCATTACGCAACGGCTCTGCTCGATAATACCCTCCGGCCAGATCTTGTTGCAAGTGCGACGGCGGCGGCGGCGGCGGGGGTGGCACCTCGTCTGCTTCTGCAACCCTACTATGCGCGTACGACGAAGTGCCGCCGTAGTAGCCGTACCCGCCGCCGCGGCGGCCCGGGTGGACAAGGACTGGCGTTGCCGAGGGAACCCGCTGGTATTGCTGCTGCTGCTGTTGGTGCTGATATTGGTGGTGTTGGTGCTGTTGGTGCTGTTGGTGTTGGTGCTGCTGTTGGTGTTGGTGCTGCTGTTGCCGGGGTTGTTGATTCTGCTGCTGTTGGTGTTGGTATTGTTGCAGATACTGCAGCAGAACTTGATGGTCACGTTGCTGTTGCTCTTGTTGTTGTTGCTCTTCCGTTTGCGGCGGTTGCAGCAATCCCATGTCGTACACTTGTGATCTGGAGCCGCCGCCATCACCACCGTCGTCATCGCCATCGCCGTCGCGATCACCACTACCGCCGCCGCCGTCGGCGTACCGACTGCTACGCGGATGAGTACGATGTACGGCGGCACCTAGGTGTCCAGAAGATGACCGCTGTGGAAAGATGAGGTGGGCCGCCACGGGGTGTACGGCGGAAGGGGTTTCGGCGGCTGGCACCGCGGCAGTTGAGTCGCCCTCCCAGGCTCCAGCACACGGCGGCGCCGGGCTGGCGGCGACAGTCCTCGTGGGGCCAGCGCCGCCGCCGCCGCCATGGAACGGCATCACCCATGCCGTACGACTGTACGGCCCTGCTGCTACCGCCTTTGATGCGCCGCTGGCCGACGCAGCGGCGTAATCGGCCATTGTACCGCGTCTTGGGCTCCGCGCGGTTGCAGCGTCGGTGTCGGCGGCAGCAGCCGCCGCCGCCGCCGCCGCCGCGGAACAATTTGAACCGCCGCGTGCTTGTTGGAAAACTATTTCCACCCTAGAATTCGAATTCGGGTTTGGATCCAGATCTTGATCTAGACCTGGATCGCGGCCCGTGCGTTGGAACTGACCGCTCGAAGCTGGCCGGAGATTTGAATGAGGCTGTCGCATTGGGCCATCACCTGAGTCCCGCGCTCCCGACCATATCTGCATCAGTAAAAAGAATGGGCGCGGGCGGGCCCCAGGAGGCGGCGAACCCAATTGCGGTTGACCCGTGGGTCAGTACGTGCAGCAGACAGGCTCGACTTACAGACAGGATCGCGCACATTTCTCAATGGGTGGCAAATTGATCCCTGTCAGGATTAAGAGGAACGGTTTGGTGTCCGAGAAAGAAAAAAGCTTGAAGCGGTTGAACGTGTTATGTATCTTGGACGAGCTGAAAGGAGCCGTGAGACAGGGCGTCGCCGCGAAAGTGTTCACGCTTCAAACATCATCAATCAGCCCAACGTAATCTTGCAGGCATTTTGCCACGTTGTATGTCTGGATGTTTGAAAGCGTGAAGCTTAAATTAAGGTGGCCATTTGCGGCGAGCTTCAGTTGATGGAATTAAGACCTAGACCAAGTCCGTTGTCTAGGGCATTTCGTTGGCAGACTGCCCTCTAAATCCACCGCCGAGCAGTAATGTGAGGATGCCAAAGACCAAGGTACTTACCGAGCTTCGTGTTGCTCGTTGGTTATGTTGAACATCGCTTGAGCTGAGGTCAAGTTCGTAGGCCCGAACTAGGCTCCTCGGCGTTTCGGTATTACCAGCTGCCCCGTCGTTTTGCATAGTGGTAACTATGCTATGGCGTCAATTTAGTACGTTATATGTGTAGCGGTTTGGCCAAATGTCCCGTCCGATTAGGGAAATGGTCGTGTCAAGAGGACCCCAAGCAAAGCAAAACTGCAACCTGCATGTATGTTAAGTTGCATACATTAATCGCAAAAGTTGTATTTTCGTATGTATTAGAATTGAGTTGTAAAGGGATTGGCCTGCGTAAGGAGTGCAAACGAAATTGGGGGGCTGTACTTACATGAACGCGACTTTGGACGGGTCATACCTGCACCCGCCGCTGCTACCATTCAAACACGTCAATTGGAAAAATGTAATGATGATAGTATTTGCTTAAGTTAGTTGAAAATCAGCCCGACCTATGTAGCTAACTTCGAGGCGACCGGTAGCACACCGCCTTTCGTAAGCATAGGAGCAGAAAACCGAAATTAAATAATTGGACGAATCGATTACGTTTACAATCCAAAAGCGTATCTAGGCCAAAAAATGACCACATTGGTTTTCACAGCCCGCACCAAACGGAAGAGAAAAACGGGCCTGAGGAGATCGCATGCCTAGCAACTAATCGAAGCGAGCATCTTATAATGGTCTTATTCAGTTAATCATAAAATGCAAAATTGAAAAGCTTGAACCCAAAAGCCATTGGCCGCCTTTTGCAACACCCTTGGGTACTGTCTTGTACTGTAAACGTAGCCAATCGTTTCAGCCAGCTCCATGAAAGGCGCCGCACAGTAGGCGGGCGTCTCAGTTGTAAGCACGTCAAATGTTACCTACCAAATCCATGCAAAATAAGCACATGGACATCAACCTCAAACCGCTCCTGGCGCAGGTGCAAAGTCCAGCTCAAGCCTAATCCTTTCCACTAGGACTGCAATCTGTGAGGCTGAGTCAGCTGCGCGGCTGCCAGAACCCACCGCCTCCGCCCCTATCGGCGACACCCCTCCTCTCCTCTCGCCCTCTTGGGCCTCTTGATCCGCTGACGGCGTCGCTTCAACCGGCGGCGGCGCCCCCGCACCCGGCGACGCCGCGACTCGTCCAATCCCCCGAACCGTCGAGCCGCCTCCTGCATCGTCTTCCGTCGGCTCTCCCGCCAACCCCCCCACGTTACCCCCTTCCCCAGCATCCCCGGAACAACCGCCCTCCTCCTCCGCCGCCGCCCCTTTGAAACCATTCCACGAGGTTTGCCACAAGGCAGCCGGCTCGTCCTGAAGAGCCTGAGAATGTCCGTACAAGTCCCCGCCGCCGCCGCTGCCGCCGCTGCTACTGCTACTGCTACTGCTACTGCTGGTATCTGCATCCTTGCCTGGCTCCACTACTACCGGTGCCGAGATAGCCGCTGTTGTCTGGCCTCCCGCGGCGCCGCCGGGTGCAGCCGCCGGTGCCGCCGCGAACCGCTCGAGATACAGCGCCAGCTCGATCCAAGCATCGTCGTACCGTCGACTGAAGTACAACAGAAGGCCGTACTGGAGTTGCGCCTCTCTGCGTGTCGTGGCGATGTCAGTAGGGGGACCGAGACGGTCGGGGGGAAGGGGGTGAAACACGAACGAAGCCATGGCGTGTCTGTACGTGTCTGTCTGTCTGTATGCATGTGCGGGCGTTTGCGCTCCGCAGTAGTTGGGCCTCCCGGGGGATTGGGGAGCATTCGACAAATACTTTGTCGGGAAACGAACGGCGAGCAGCGAGCTGAATCTTTTAGGCATGCAAAGCAGCATAATGTACGACGCAAGGTAATGTACGATACGAGATCGTGTACAGCACAAGAAATGTGTCCTTTCTCTGGGCGATGAAACAACCGCCAAGAAAGAACCCAAAAGGAAAGACCTGCCCCCTTAGCGAGCGGGGTCATGGGAGGAAACAGGAACACACATACACACACACACACACCACGATGCGGCCGCCCGCCCTTCAAGACGGCTAAGACGGCTCGAAGGAGCTGTATCGGGACAACAACCCGACACCCACTTCGCCCCCCTCCTCCCCTCCCCACATGCGCCCCGTGTGGCCCGGAGAACCCACCGATCCCCGGGCAGCAGCCAGAGCCGCTTCTCCGCCGCCGCCAGGGCCCTTCGCAGCGATGCAGCCCGCACGCCGCTGGTTGGAATCGATACCTGAAAACAACCAACCAACAATTATTAGTCAAGTCAAGTAACAAAGCAATGTAATAATAAAAACCACCGGACGGTTGGGCAAACTGAAGGGGCAAAGGACGGTGGTGCCAGTCGTGGTGCAATTGAAACCCCAAGTGTTGACGGAGGGGGAAAGGGGGAGGGGGGAAAACACGAACCACACGAGCGAGGGAGCGAGCTGCTGTCAAGGAAAGAGAGCTGCGGCAGATGTGCAGGACGGTAGCAGAATTGACCAGTCGGCGGTCGTGAAGAAGCAGTCCTCGGGATGATGTTCGTAGTGATGACGACTGCGGAACAACCTACTACCTACCTGGCCGCCAAGACTAAAATAAAAGCGCAAGAAGAACTGTATCGCGAAGCCGTTATGAAGTAAAAGTAGGTGTAAAGGCGGCGAAAAAGTAATAAAAACTGACGCGAGAAGCGAAAGGGATGACCTGAGCCGGAAGAAAGTCTTGCCGCCGGCCTGGCGGCGGCATTGAAGAGGCTGGAGCAAAACTGGCTGATAAGCTGGTAATAAGCTGTGCTGGTGATATGCAAGTGCTCCTTCCTCCCAACCCCCCCAAAACTAAAACGCGCGCCCAACCCAACCAACCCGACTATCCTAGTCCGGCTAGCCGACCGAAAACCAACGCGATATACCGACAAAGCTCGAACCCCTAATGGGGGAGTGGGGCGGGGGAAGTGGGGAAAGAGAGCGGAACGGAGGGGGTAAACTGCAATGCACCACATCACATCACCAGTGAAGCAGGCCCCCACCCCCACCCCCACCCCCATCCCGGCCCTCCCCTCTCCTACCATGTTCTCCAGCGCCGTCCTCGCAGTCAGCGGAGTCATGGACCCCGGCTGGGGCGAGCAGCCCACCGCCGCGGCCCAGTGCACGTCCCGCAGCTCCCCCAGCAACGCGGCGAGCAGCGTCCGGCGGCACGCGGGCTGCAGGGAGGCGGGCTCCACGCCGAATATCTCACACACCTGGGTGCACCCGGGCGGGGGGGGCCGGGGGGGAGTATTGGTTGATGAGTTGTGTACGGCATGTGTGTATTGTGTGGTGTATGGGTTGCGGGGGGTGGGGAGTTGGAAATCCTTGACGTGGAAGAGTAGGTCGAGGGTTGCGGGGGAAGAGGGGTAGTGGTTGCCGGTGTCACACACGGGAAAATACGGGACCGCACGCCATGTCGTACAGCTCCTTACCTCGTCCAGAAGCAGCAGGCCTCCCCTGCCGTACGGGTCCACCAGGAACCGCTGACCATCGGCGGTCAGGGGGGCATCCACGGGCCACAACACAAAGTACCTGTATGTATGTTGTTACAGGGTGGTTAACTTCGCCAGCGGCCCCCTTTCCCGGGGCAGTCCCTGCTCTCCCCTGCTAGAGGGGCACCCTAATCCGTCACCCCATCCGACTTCAGAATGTATTCGTTGGGTTCGGCAACTCACCACCAGCATCCAACCAAATCTAGCGGATCAACGGCGCATCAACTTAGTTCCTGGTCAGCTCGCAAGTTGATATTATCACGTCCTACACCGTCCATAAGATGGGGGGCCACCTCCCATTTCATCACTCCTCAAACACCCGAGGAGCCGGCAGGCGGATTTGAACCCGGGTCGACTGGGTCAACTGGGAGCAGAAGTCAGGCCTTAACCTCTGCCAGCCGCCTGCCTGTATGTATGTACGTATGTATGTACGCGTATGTGTGTATGGAGGTTTTACAGCCCGGAGGAAAGGGCGGGGGGGTACCAGATGTCTGTCAGTCTGTCAGTTGCGTCGTGGCACCTTAGGCCGCCGCCTGCACCTCACCTCGCCCC